CAATAATATTATTATCATAATTTTAAATTATTTTATATATATTAGCATTATTAATAAAATATTAATACCTTGAGCAAAAGAGAAGAGATTTTATTAAAACCCCAAGAAATATTAAATATTTTAAACTTTATAATTCTCGTTTATGTTGCATATATGCACAAATATCTGGATTTATTCATCAATTATAACTTTGTATTAACACGTCATCAATAAAATTCAATTGCCAATAATTTGTTGCGATACATAATTGTGTTACAAGTACTAATGTCACGTGGTAGTATCGTAGCAATCTAACTCTGACACCGTTCTTGCTTTTACTATATTGCTATACGTTTTATATAACAGTAGCGTTAACAGCACCAATCTACAATAGCGGAATAACTGCGACTGAGAACATGAGCAACTTGAGCGTAGATTAAGCCCTCATGTGAAGGTTCTCAATCAAAAGCTGAGAAATCAGCAGCGTAACTACATTATATATTATATTACATAACATTATATACATTAGTACACACACATTCCCATATACATACATACATTCATACACTCAGACACAATTATTATATTACAATAATTTTTTCTTCTACAATTCTTAGAGATAATGAACAAGCTATTATATTTTTTTATTAAAACAATTTAATTTAAAAACATTTTATAATTAAAAATGCAAATAACAAGCATAAAAAATTACGTAAAATATAATAAAAATTCTATTTTTTTATATGATATTACTGCATTTAATATTATGTAAGAAAATAAAATATAATATATATTTTATTTTAATTATTTTAAATTGCACTAATTTTTATAATGTACTTTTGTTTGGTAGAAATTGTTTAGCGAAAAGAGAAGAAAAGCAAAATTATTGAGGATTAGTTTTATTATAATAAAATTGTTTATTTATATAACAATCGTAACAAAATTGAAAGATAATAGTTTCACAAAATATTTCTCTGAATATATATATATATATAATGTTATGTTGAACTGCTTGTAAAACATAAGTGATTGTTCATACAATGAGAATCACTGAACATGTACAGAGACTGCGCATCTCGAATCAAACCGCTTCAACTAATATATCGGGTGGTCAAAGAGTAATATACAGAGATTTTATTGCTACTTTCGATGCAACTTTTCTTTCGAGAAATAGAATTTTTTATTTATATAACAATCGTACATTTTCAAAAATATAAGTCAACAATTCTGTAAAATACACCTCTCAATATATATGTACATATCTTCTAGAGGATGCTAGAAAATATTGTCATATCTTATTAATAGTATAAGAATAATAAAGTGTAAATGATACATTTTATATTAAATTCTCTTCAAAAAACAACGCACATATGTGACCACTTATATTATGAAAAAATCACTAAGTAGATATAGATCATTTACAAAATTAAGACCCTGCAGTCAGTATATATCGAATAGCTAAAAAATAAATTTGGGACTAATTAGAAAACATGTAATCTATGCTATCATACGTAAACAAACCATTGTCTCTTCAGATATAATGCAACATTCATTAAATTGTAATTAATTAAATTACTCCTTTAAATTTTCCTGTCCATCGAGAATTAAAACTTAATGAAATGATAAAATCAAGTTAGAAAAAAGGCAATCAAAGCTCAGTGCAGTAACTTTAACGAATCCGCATTAGAAGAAAATAAAACAAATAGTAATGTAGTAGTGTTTCACAAAGTAAAACTCTGATATTTGTGCTGCAGATGGTTCAAAGAAAGGAAATGTTCGCTTTAATTTACATAATTTGTTTAAATCGATAAAGTTATATGCGCCCCAGCTACTGCGCTGGCTCCGATTGCCTTTTTTCTAACTTAATTTTATGATTTGTTTCCTAAGAGCCTTTATTTGTTAAAATTTACCTTTTATCTTATTTTAATGGAATAAATATTGATTTACAAATGATACGCAAGCTATATCAAAATATTATACATTTATACGTTTACAAATTGTGACCTATAAGATCAAGAAATATAAGATCGACTATATATATAATATCGATATTTTATATATATATATATATACTATGTTTGTACAGATTTTTTATGTGTTTGAACGTTAAGCTTATTAACAGCAACGCATATAAATCTTAAGAAATAAATAATTAAAGTTCGAAAACTTAAAGAACCTACAATTAAACCACGATGCAATCTTATTCAATAAATTTTTTTTCTCGTAACACTTATTCTTTTTCTTTGATATCCATTAAAATTTCTTATGCCTTTTGTATTAAGATGTAATAATTTACAAAAATTATGAAAATTTTAAAATTTGGTATACCAAATTTGATATCAAGAATTTACAAATGCAAGATAAATCACGATTAAATTTGCTTACTGAGCTTGAATAAGATAACAGAATATATATAAATTTCAAAAACATAACGTCATAATTTTACAAGGCATTTTCAATTTTTAAGGATACTCTTTTATTTTTTTAGCAACTCAATAAATTCTTATTATGTGCGTTTATCCGAGAAAACATGGACATAAGATTATATAAAATTATATATAGCCATAAATAATTATATTATCCATATATATATCTTATATAATTACATAAGTCCATTTTTTCAGATATACATATTGATTGTGCGTTCAAATAAATATGATTCTGTTATGCAAATAATTCATAAATTATAAAGTATTAGTTTTAATTATTGTAATCGAAAAATTGTCACATCATTTTCAAAATAATATGTTTTTGTACACGCGTATTTGCAAAAGGTGACATGCATAACAATTAATTGGTCCACAAAATGGTGATCATCGAATATTATATGACTAACACACTGGGAAGAAGTTTATAAACCTTTACATCTTTACATCTTGAAATTCAAATTCTACTTCGCCTTAAAAAGGAAGTATGTATCTCTACAGGAAAACATGTCAATTATAATCGTATTTTTTCTTCGATGATATCATTGTAATATTTATCAGTCAGCTTCACATAGGTATCATTGTTAAGAAAATAGATCGGATCTTTTACCTGTAAAAATTATTATTGTGTGTCATAGTTCTCGTCTCTATTTGAACAAATTAATTAGATAAAATAGAACTTACCTTTGTAATATCAAAGGCTTCCCGTTGGAGATTCTTCTTTTTCAGTTTGAATGTTCCTATCAACAAAGGAAATCATTCATATTATTATTATTATTATTATTATTATTATTATTCATATTTACATATGGCTATATTATTCATATTTAATAATATTATTCATATTCACATATAAAGAATAAAGAATTTAAATCTTTACCGGTCATTGGCAGTTCTGACAAAATGCGAACAAAACGAGGTCTGGCGTAGGACGGCAAAACTTTCTTTAATTCTTCTCCCAACCCTTCGATATTTAAAGAATTATTTGCATCATATATAGCAACCATTCCCGCTTTACCCTCGTTTCCAGATACCTAAACATATATTACGGATAAAAAGGGATATTTATCGTTTTTTTTTCGACCTTTCATTAACCGTATGTATATAAAATGATAATTTATTTATCTAAATTGACATAGTGTTTTGTTTTAAATTTTTGTACTTTTCTTTGATAGAGAATCAAATGACTAAATTCGTGATTCATGTAATTGCAATTTATTTACCTCGACACCATATACGGTTGCGTCCTTGAAACCTATCATTTTACTGATGACAGCCTCCACTTCCGAAGTAGCAACATTTTCACCTCGCCACCTAATATTATAATTTCAAAAATGGTATAATAGTATTAAAATTTATTTTTGTTTATTTGCTGATTTACTCTAAAAATATTTGTAATAATTTAATGATTTTTTATTAAATTCGACTATTCTCAAAATTGCAGTGATTTGAATTTTATTTTCTGTGCTACATTAAAAGTGCCTGTATATATAAATATGCGTATTTACGTACCTAAATGTATCACCGGTCCTATCTTTGAAGTAAAAATATCCGAGTTCATCCATGACTAAAATATCACCTGTTCAAAAAAACTCACAATCAGTTAAATAATTCTCAATATATTGTATAAATAGATTGCGTGCTATATCTTATAATATTCAGACCAGAATTAAAGACGCGATCGCCTTTTTTAAAAACATTGTGTATAATCTTCTGCTCTGAAGCCTTTTTATCCGCATAGCCAGAGAAATCGTTGATCGCTTTCTTTGGATTAATCTTGCCCACGAAAATGCCGGGCTCACCTAAACGAATAATATAGCAATAATATAAGTGCGTGTCTTTTATCTGATCTATTTAATATTAAATTAAACTATGATTTTCGATTTATTTGTCGTATTTTTAATAACTAATTTGCCTAACAAGAGGGATATTTTATATCTAATATTCAAGTAAACTCTTGAAGCAAATTCTTGAAAAAATTATAAGGAAGAACAATGATAAAATTTTATTTCTAGATCCTTTAATTATAATTTTAATAATCAGAGTAATCAAGTAAAATTATATCTGTTACAGTAATACGAAAGAGACTTATCTTCTAAAATTATAGATTCTTTACTCTGTTCTTATCAATATAAATTTTCGGTGATACATACCAGGTTTACAAGTTATGCAAAGTCCATCTGTTCCTCTCAACAATTCCCCTGTCTCTTCATCAATTTTCAACAAAGCAACAGGATATAAATGACCAGCATATCTTGGTATAAAACCAACAGCACCAGTTTTATTGTTAATATTGACTGCAAATTATACAAATATTGTATTTTTTTTTAATATAATAACTATATACTCGATAATTGTAAAATTTTAAGCTAGCACTTATTACTTTTTAGATCTATTCTTATTTTCGAATACATTAAACAAAACTTAAAACATTAAAATTTTGTTAGCCTTAAAAAAATCCATAAATTTTGACCAATTTATTAAATTCTTATTGTGTCTATTTTATTATTATATTTATATTGTACTTTGAAAGTGCATCCTATAAAAAAATTTTCTAAATTTAACTAAAAGCATGCGAATTACCGAGATTTGAGTTTCCTTCGGTGGCTCCATAAAACTCGCCTATTTGTTTTATGCCAAATCTTTTTACAAAAGATTCCCAAATTTGCGGTCTCAGACCGTTCCCGAACATTAAGCGTATTTTATGTTTTCTGTCATTTTGATTTGGCGGAACCGTGAGAAGGAAACGGCAGACTTCTCCGATATATTGCGCCACCTGAATAAAATTTGCATTTTTATTTTCTTATTATTATTCAAAAAATTTGTTATAACTCAATTTAATAAGATGTTTAAAACTAAATTATCGCTTTGAATATTTCTGATCACAAATTTCTCTCCCTAATAAGTATTTCAAGAATTTTATTCACTTTTTTGATTAATTTCTAGATCAGTATAAGAGCTATAAGTATTAATTGTAGCCCACACAGAAAATTAAATTTTGAGTCATTAAATAAACACAAATCCAACTAATTTCATTTATTCTAATTTTTTTGTCTCAAAATTTTTATCAAAGAGAGGTTTTCTTAAGTGCAAGTTTTTAATAATTAAAGGACTATAAAATTGTATAAAAAATAGAGTGATCGTACAGTGCATTCGTAATGGATACAATCTGACCAAAACTTTGACGCACTGAATCGTCTACGAATCACAACGGTCACGCCTCGTAAAAGCGCTTGACCTGCTCCAATTATTCCACCTGCGGTGTGATAAAGAGGCAGAGAGTTGTAAATTCGATCATTAGAACGTATACGAAGCATTGAGTTCACACCACATGCTATTAACATATATCTGAAAAAAAGCACATAATTAACTATTTCTTAATTTGTGAATGCATATGTGTGTAAAACAATATATATCTATTCTTTCTTTTATTTAAAAGCCATTGCCATTTTTTTCACTTAGTATCTTACATCAGAAAAATTGTGTGTTTCCGGTATAAAAGTGTACTTTCATACACTTCAGTATTACATAATCTTTCACGTAAAATTGACCAGGCCACCAGGAGTTTACCTTAAATTATTGATAACGGCAGCCTT